GGATTCGCTGCAAAATTTGGATGATGTGCAAACGTCTAACGCAAATGTTCAGAACGCGTCGCGAAATTGACCATAGCTTAATCAAAAAAGACATACTTTACGATATTATCGTGCGTCATTTGTTTTAATATGGATATTTCTCTTATGGCGGTTGTAGGTAATCCCTCGTTCTGGAAAGTTTCGAGTCTCATTTTTTTTAACGCAACAAGGCGACCGGTTCTTTGATCTTGCGCCCTGTAAACGACACCGTATGTCCCTTGTAGGGTTAAACAAACCAAGTTGTCAACACGTTTATGAAAAAGTTATGATTTATTATTTTTCTTTCTTTGTTTTTGGCTGATGTGTAACAACAAAGTAGTGCTGAAGGAAAACAAAAAAAACTACTATCATCTAAATTTTTTTAAAGCTAACCTTCCCCAATTTTTTCACGTTTAATGTAATTTTCAGACATGTTGGTAAAGAGTTACGATATCACACGCGTGAATGGAAAAGTTTGCGGAGGAAATGTGACGGACGAGAGAAGGTGAGGGAAGATCGAAAGAGTGTGCAGGGAAGTTGTCAGGATCATATAAAGATGAAAGAAAAAAATTTGAGGGAACACAGGTCTCAAGCGATATCCCGATTTGGAATGACAGCACGCGAGATAAGAACCGTCATGTTATGCGAATTGACCGTTCTTTCATTTTCCTTCTCCCTGGTTTGCGGACTACCTGCATGAGTGCGAATATGACTGTCTCACTCCTTTTTTTTTTCGAATTTAAATGGTGCAACAAGCAATTATTTCGTTTTGTTCACTTATATCCGTGGTCTCTCACTTAAATCGTGTAGAACATGGAAATTCGGTTTTCTATCTATGGTTGACGGACTCGGAACCACTACTTTTGTTCAAATTACGAAATCATGCTACGAATCTCATTTTCAATTTCGACTCTGCCCGAAATCTTTGCAGAAGACCGACACACTGTGACATCTCGTGTTTCGATGGAGATCGTGTCTCGAAACATGCCAATTGGAAATCGTTCTACGCGAGCTTTTTTGCCAGCGTATCCGGGGAACTTGTATTCAACCGATCTGCTATCAAAGTGCGGATCTAAAAAAACGTAAATCTGGTAATTCTGACAGGTATTTGTTATAAAAAATTCACATCGGTTTACTTATACAGGAAACTCGGTAACCAAAAACCGAAATTCTGAGATTCTTGTGACTCAATTTATATACTAAATACTCAGGGGGCAGATAGTGGTACGGTTACACGGCATCTCGGGTGCTATCTTGGCATTAAATTCTCAAGTTTCCTTTTTTAACGCGATCCAAGAAAGTCAAACGTTACGTACGTACGTGCGCGCGTGCGTGCGTACACTTTGACACCGCATACGTAAGATTCTCTTTTTTTACATCACATGATACGTGATCGACACCACTGACTTTCATGTGTTCGTGCGTGTATGCTAGTTCCTTCGGTCACGTTGGCACGATCAAACTGGCGACCAGAATTACGACAATTTTTTTATTCAGTGAGACCTGATAAATTTTTCTCGGGATCTCGTGACTCACCAGATTCGGTATGGTTGAACAATATTCATCTCTGTACGACCTGACGGCTGTTAAAAAAATCTGACCAATCAATCGGCTTTTCGCAATGTTCTTTCGGCGTATCTACTAACGATGATATTCCTAGCTCCATGTCCATCGGTTCCTCAACAATCTCAGATGCAATTTCGGGTAATGCATCTAAAATAACCCCGGGATCTTCATGATCCACAGAACCCTCCGCTGAATTGCAATCATTTTGACTATGACCAGAAGAGGAATCATGTATGCTCTCGGCTTTATCACTTGGACTATTGCGACTACGCTTTTCCGAAGATTTCTCGGAATTATCACTCATTATACTGCGTCGTCTCTTCTCATTAGATTTATTACTATTACTATTACTATTACTATTATTATTATTGTTGTTGGTGTGACGATTTTTTTCATCCGATCTATCCGATTTATCGCTCGCAATGCTACGGCGTCTTTTCTCCTCAGGTTTCTCACTTAGGCTGCTACGACGTCGTTTCGGAGCTTTCCTCGTGTTGTGCTGTACAGGTTTCTCTTCTTCGTCAGTATTTATCGTGGTGGAATTCTTGCGCGAGGAAATGCTCTTTGAATTTCGTCGGCTCCCCGTACTAACGGATGATTTTCGTTTATTGGAAATAATTAGTTCATTGTCCACGTTCATATCCTCATCAGCCGCCGGTGAATCCACGTCATTTGACGACGGAGGGCCATTCGTTGACTTGTGACTGTTTTTTTGACCCCGACCCCGAGTCGGTGGGTTCAATTCTAAACTAACTTCCGTATTTGTTGGGGAGGTCGCTTTCTTTAATTTTTTCGCAGGTAAATCTATTTTTTTTGAGGAATTCATCTCCGGGTTTTCCACTGGTCTCTTCCAATAATCCCACTTAAAACTTTTTAACGGCTCACCGTTTCTTATACACTTTAAGGCCCTTCGGACTCCGATGTGAGAGGAGAATCCCTCTACATCTAAAAATTGTAGATACGGACCTTCGTCTATTTTAAAATGTCTCAACCCTCTGGCCTCCACCACCGAATATGTCATGTCTTCAAAATACCTAACAAGGAACTTGCCCTCAAGCAAATTTTCTTCAAGTTTGTCGTCAACATCCATCGATTCATCGATCTCATCATTCGGAACTATCATGGCCGGCCACCAAAAATCGGCCTTGGCATCTAGGGGATCCACGAACACAACATCTCTTCCCTTGAAATCATTGGTGGCAGGGGGTATTTTAGCATTCCGCGTGGAAGACCTTCTCACCGGAGTCACTCGAGGTTTGTTATATACCGTATTCATTCTTGCCCTTCGGGGAGCAAGTGTTCGACGTGGGGCAACTAGATTGAAAAAATAATTATGATCACGTTTTCGTTATCAAAGAAAACATTTTTCATTCATTCGGATAAAAAGCAGCAGCAGTCGGTAATAAGTGACGAACCTTCACCATCTTCATCCTCCTCAACACCGTCTTCCTCACCATCGCTCTTCGCTATTTCTTGCTCTTTTGGTGTCGAGCTTTCAAACTCTTGCATTTCTTCGTGTACATCACTTTCCATTTTCACCACGGTGTTATTATCGCTACTTTCTTCAGAAGCTTCGGACAAGCCTTGTATTTTCGGCTCTTCTTTGGGCGCCTCCGAGTCCATGAACTCGTCTTCTTCCAATATCAAATCATCCTGCCCAGCGTTGACGTCATGGTCCGATTCACTTTTGGTTTGCTTGTCGTCCATGGAAGCGGTTATTTCGGTGTTAATAGTTAGCCTAGGTGGCTGCTTTTTTGGCCTCATATTACTTTGCCTCAAAGTTTTCTTTCTCTTGGACCTAAGCGTGAGGAGAAAGGAGAAAAGGTGGTGTTCAATTTAAAAGTGGAAGTATCACAAAGGCATACAGGAAAGCACGAGAAACTTTATTAAAGCATACACATTGAATTAAGGGTACCGAAAGGTCAGCATATTTACGCAGGAGCTTACCTCGTTGACTCTTCAACGGTTCGTGGTTGATTATTAACAACTTCCTT